GGACTCGATCCCGGGACTCCAGGATCATGACCTGAGCCAAAGGCAGTCGCTTAACCAACTGAGCCACCCAGGCGCCCTGAGCAAACATTTCTTAAGGCCTTTTGGTGGCAACCCCCAAAGGCCCTGCGGGTATGGAGGTGGAGCTGATCTCTGTCCCTGTCTGGAGACCGGCAGTTGCAGCCTGAGGGCTTTCATTCTGAGAGACGGGAGATGTGGGGGGCTCAGAAGTGACTCTAGGAAGATGCTGAGCCCTGGAGAAGGGGAAAGGAAGATGGACATGAAAGGAAGTCCTTGTCCTTTTGGAACAAGGCTTGTGCTTGCCTTGCTTGTTTGGAGATGGCTTTTCCCACTCACAGACGCCTGACTTAGGAATGTACCTGACAGGTGACCTGCGGCATTCCCACTACATGGTGTTGGGAGCTTACTAACCTTCCCCTCCCTCCCCCCAGCACCTGACATTCCTGGAGGTGGAGAGTGTGATTTCCATTTTTGTAATCATTAAACCTGATAGATACGAAGATTTTGGAGCAACTTGAAAAATTGCCTGTTAGATAACATCCAGAAGTCTTGATTTTTCTCTCCATAAACCATGACTGTATGAAGGCAAGGATTGGAAAATGGACATTGTTACTGAGGTTATGTATTTAAAGTGTTATTCTCAGATAACCAGTATTTCTTGAAATATGTCCTTGATGATTGCATTTATCATCAGATTTAATCCTTAAAATAACCATAAAATTTAGAAAGTTCTGCTATATAAAAGAAAATACTAAACAGGTGTCTGGTTTTGAATATCATAATATTCTTTTTTTTTTTTTTTTAAGATTTTACGTATTTGTTAGAGACAGTGAACACAAGCAGGGGGAGTGGCAGGCAGAGGAAGAAGCAGCCTCCCTATTGAGCAAGGAGCCCAATTTGGGGCTCAATCCCAGGATCTTGGGATCATGACCTGAGCCAAAGGCACACGCTTAATGGACTGAGCCACCCAGGTGTCCCTTCTTGGTGAAATCTTAACTTCTTTTTTCTTGTAGTTTTTGAAATCATTAGGGTGTTTGTGAAAATAAAAGGATAAAGAAAATAAAAGTTGTCCATAAGCCCAGTTCATTAAAGAATTAAAAAAAGAGGAGGGTGGACATACCAAAAGTAAAGAGTAAAAGGCTGCCTCCCTCAAGCCTTTCCCTAGAGGTCACTGGCCATTGCCCACACGCTGTCCATCCATCACGTAGCATTGTGTGAAGACACATGTCCTTGACCCTTAGCTTGCTCTCCCTACAGTGAGGAGCTGGATGAGCTGCACTACCAGGACACAGATTCAGATGTGCCAGAGCAGAGGGACAACAAGTGCAAGGTCAAATGGACCCACGAGGAGGTGAGTGACACAGACATTTTGGGGGAGGGACGTTGATGGCAGCTGGGGGCTGGTCAGAGAACTGAGCCTGGGGTGTATGTGCCTGATGCCATGATGGGTGCGATGAAGAGGAGGAGCTGGTGAAAGAGGTGGAGGGTCCTCTGGTTCTCCCCAGTGCCTGTTAGAGCATTCTCGGGGACGCTCCACATTGAGGACTCTCGGGAGTATGTGTCTCTTGGAAGCTGGCGTGTTCTGCATCATGAGCACTAATTGTGCTTCTTGTCATTTACTGCTAGGGTGATTAGCCTAATGTGCAACCTCCTCTTTATTATTATTATTACTATTATTTTATTTAGAGCGAGAACATGCACAGCCACTTATTGGGGGGAGGAGGGGCAGAGGAAGAGGGAGAGAGAGAATCCCAAGCAGGCTTCATGCCTAAGGTGGGGCCCAAGTCGGGGCTCCATCTCACAACCATGAGATCATGACCTAAGCTGAAATCAAAAGTCAGTCGCTTAACCATCTGAGCCACCCCAGTGCCCTCCCTCTTTATTATAATTTTTTGTGTCTTGAGACATCAAGCTCTGAATTTTCTTTTTATTGTTTAATCACCTTCACGGAAGTATAATTTATGTACAATCAAATGCACCTTTTTAAAGTGAGCAGTTGAAAGCACCACCTTGATTATCCCAGAAAGTTCCCTTTGTGGTTCATCTTCCCTGGCTCCAGGCAATTGCTGATGTAATGCCTCTGGGTTTGATTTGTTTTGTCTGTTCTTTTTTTTTTTTTTTTAAGATTTTATTTATTTATTTGACAGAGAGAGACACCGCGAGAGAGGGAACACAAGCAGGGGGAGGGGGAGAGGGAGAAGCAGGCTCCCCGCAGAGCAGGGAGCCCGATGTGGGACTCGATCCCGGGACTCCAGGATCATGACCTGAGCCGAAGGCAGTCGCTTAACCGACTGAGCCACCCAGGCGCCCTGTTTTGTCTGTTCTTGAATGTCCTGTAAATGAAATACAGCTGTACTCTTTCCTATCTCACTTCTTTTGCTTAACAAAATAACTGCTTGATTCAGCAATCTGTTCCTTCTTATTGCCGAATAGCATTCCATTATATGGGTATACCACAATAATGTTTCACTTGTTGATGGGCATTTGGGCTTGTTTCAGTTTTTGGCTATTGCGGTTAGAGCTGCTGGGAGGATCCTTGCATAAATCTTTTTTGAGGATTATGTTGTCATTTCTCTAGGGGAGATACACTTAATGTCTGGTCATGGGGTAGGTGTATGCTTAGTTTTATAGAAACTGCCAGACCTTTTTCTAAATTGTTTGTTCTATCCTAGACTCCTGCTGGACTTATCTTTTTATTTTACCTCTTTTTTTCCTGGAGATGTTTAATTTAGGTCTTTTTTTTTTTTTTCTTAGTGTATGAGTTGTAAAACTTTTTTTTTAAAGATTTTATTTATTTGAGGGTGCCTGGGTGGCTCAGTCGTTAAGCGTCTGCCTTCGGCTCAGGTCATGATCCCAGGGTCCTGGGATCGAGCCCCACATCGGGCTCCCTGCTCAGCGGGAAGCCTGCTTCTCCCTCTCCCACTCCCCCTGCTTGTGTTCCCTCTCTCGCTGTCTCTCTCTCTGTCAAATAAATAAATAAAATCTTTAAAACAAAAAAAAAGATTTTATTTATTTGAGAGAAAGTGCGCATGAGCAGGGTGAGGGGCAGAGGGAGAAGCAGACTCCCCACTGAGCAGGGAGTATGACATGGGCCTCGATTCGGGGGCTCCATTCCAGGCCTCTAGGATCATGACCTGAGCCAAAGGCAGATGCTTAACCGACTGAGCCACCCAGGCACCCCCTGAGTTGTAAAACTTTTTAAAATCATGAGTGCTAAGCCAGCTTTTCTGTTCATCCCACTGTGGACCAGGAACACTATATGCAGCTCTTGTGGGCCTAGAAGAACAAACAAGCTGGGGTCCCCACCGCAGAACCACTCTGTGCTTGGGGTGGAGAGAGAAGACTGCACGGGCCTATGGACATGCTGTGGTGATCCCTGGTGTTGGCAGGAGCCATGTCAGTGTGTGCTCACCATCGCATCTCTCCTTCCTTGTGCTAGGGACTGGAGGCCCTGGGTCATTGTTGAAATACCTTTAGGTATTTCCTTTCCTGTTACTGTTGCCTGCAGAGATTAGGGAAAATTTCATGGATAAGGATTTGGAAATCAAGTCAGGGAAGAGTACAGAACGGTGGGTATATTAGAATAGGAAACAGGTGAATAGAATAGAATAGAATAGAATAGAATAGAATAGAATAGAATAGAATAGAATAGGTTGTAGGTGGGGAAAAGCAAGTAGAGGAGCCCTGTGGTTGATACAGACAAAAAGATTGGGCCAAATCCTGGAAGGCCTAGAATGTTAGGCTCAGTAGTGTAGGCTTGTTCAGCTGGCAAGGTAGAGCCATTGAAGGTTTTTAAAGCAGAGGACTGACCTGAACATAGGTGGGCTTCCGTGGAGCTAATCTGCTGTGTGTAGGTTGGATAAGAGATTTGGGGGCAGCCCGGGGCTGAGAGACTGGTGGTGCCCAGGGCGTGGGGGAGGGTGCGGTACTGGGCAGCTGTGGAGAGATTAGGGCAGGGGTGGAGCTGAGAGGTGGAGGAGGCCCCTGGGGTCTGGGAGGAGAGAGAGACAATACAGCAAAGTATCCTTGCCAGTTGTCAGGGAGGATGGGGTGCTAGATATGGACGTGGGCATATGGGAGGAAGGCCAGTGTTCGCCTGGCCAGGCCAGGTGGCAGAGGAGGGCAGGGTGTCCAGGGCTGGCTCAGCTACAGGATTTATGGGGACTTTGCCCCAGCCAGTGCTGGACTGCTCTTTAGGGCCTGAATTTCTGTAATGGCCTTTTTCTTCTGTCCAGGAGTGTGTGTGTGTGTGTGTGTGTGTGTGTGTGTGTGTGTGTGTATGTTAAGAAAAAAACATACAACACTAAATGTATCATCATAGCCATTTTTAAGTATACAGTTCAACAGTGTTAAGTGTATTCCCGTTGTGCAGTAGAGCTTTAGAACTTACTCATCTTGCAAAACTGAATATACCCACTGAGCACAAAATCCTCATCACCCTTCCCCCTAACCCTTGGCAACCCATCTTTCTGCTTTCTGTGTCTTTGATTTTGACTACTTTAGATATTTCATATGAGTGGAATCCTATAGTATTTGTCCTTTTGTGACTGGCTTATCTCACCTTTGTTCTTGAGCTTCATCCCTGTTTCAGCTTCTAACAATTTCCTTCTGTTTTAAGGCTGAATAAACATTCCATTATATGGATATATCACATTTTCTTTATATAGATATATATAAAATATAAAAAATCAATTTGATTGAGGAGTACTTTACATCCAGTGAACTGCGGCCATTCACAGTATAATTCAGTGAGTTTCAACAGATGTATTACCTTGAAACTACCAGCACCATCACATTATAGAACATATCCATTAACTTCTAAACATTCCTTGCCCCCCTTTGCTGTCCCTCCCCCCCCACCTCTGACATCAGACGACCACCGCCTACCTTTTTGTCCTTAGAGCTTTGCTGACATTTTCTAGAATGCCATATGCATGGAATCAGTGTGCACCCTTTTATGCCCGGCTTCTTTCCCTCCTCATCATGATGTTGAGATTTCGTGTTGTTGCGGGAGTCTGTAGTTTATTTTCAGGAGGCTGTTATGACACCTGTTCACCTGCCCACTGTCCCTGTCCCCCGTGCCGCGTCACTGTCCTCTCTGGCTTGGGTTCCTCTCTTGGCCTCCCTTCCTCCATTCTGCCCTCTTACAGCTCCTTTTCCTGAAGCTGCCAAGGTGAACTGCATAATACGCGCGTTGGACCGTGACCATCCACTGCTCAAATGCCTCAGTGGCTTCGTATGATGCAGAGGCCTGAATCAGTCCTGTGTGTGGTCCGGGCCCTGCAGTGCCCTCCCAAATCATCTTGCATCCCCCTCCCTCGCTTCCTGCACTCTAGCTGCACTAGCCTTCCTTTGAGCCTGTGCCTTGGTCTCCCTGAAGAGGCAGTCACCAAGTACCTCTTCGCTGGCCCTCAGCCAGCCACAGGGTGGCTTTACTTTTGTTTGTGGGAGCCTTTGATTCGCTCCCTCTGGACCGTAATTCCCACAAGACGGGGCAGCTCTGTCACTGCCCGTTGCTGTGTCTGTAGTACGGGGCACATAGGAGGTACTCCCTTCATGACTGCATGCGTGAAGGAGGCTGTCCTGTAGGCTGGTGCTCCAGCGTGATCGGCTGCTTTCCGCACGTGTGTGAGCTGAGCCCTCTCTTTCTGGCATTGGCAGGACGAGCAGCTGAGGACCCTGGTCAGGCAGTTTGGACAGCAAGACTGGAAGTTCCTGGCCAGCCACTTCCCTGTGAGTGCAGCCCTTCGGTGGCCCCCTCCCCCAGAGATGATGGTTCTGGGCGACCAGACAGTGTGCCTGGGACAGACTTTCTGTCAGGGAGAAAGCTGGCCCCTTCCCCCCCAAAAAACAACCAAACTTCCCAGGCCCTTTCTTCCAGGCCAGAATTCGAGTCCCCCTGTCATAAGCATCTCTACACAGCAGCCTTAGCAGGCCTGGTGGTCTTCAGGCTCTGTGCCATCTGGAGCATGTGACCAAGTGGCATATTTGCATGTCTTCCTGCAAGAAATGCAAACAGTCTCAAGAGTGAGACTGAAACGGAGGGGAAGTGATACTTTGGATGGGCTTCCTGCCGAGGTCCCCCCAGAGCAGCTGGAGCCTCCTGGGGATGCAGGTCCCCCATGTCCCCCACCCCCAGGACTGCAGGTGTCTGGTAGGGAGGGGATGTGGCCGGAGCTGCTGTCTACCTTATTTCCTGAGTCACTCGGCAGCTCAGGGAGCAAGTCAGCAGGCCCTTCCTGCCTACAATCCTCACCTTCCCTGCTTCTGTGAGATCTGAAATCTTCAGGGAAATAATGCTTTCCCAGAAGCAAGGAAGGATCCCTGACATACACCACAAACTTTGATAGGAATTTATGGCTCCTGATGGCGGCCTCCTTGTACTGGGGGGCAGGAGGAAGCTTCCCAGAGGGGAACCATGTGTGTTCTGGCATGTGGGAGTGTAGTGTGTGGTGGGTGAAGGGAACAAGACAAAACCTGTCTGTGGTAGGCCTGGCCCCTCGCACCCAGTGCTCAACCAGGGTCCCCGGCCGCTGTCCTAGGAATCCTCACGGGTTCCTGTTCTCTTCCCAGAACCGCACCGACCAGCAGTGCCAGTACCGGTGGCTGAGGGTCTTGAATCCAGACCTCGTCAAGGGGCCATGGACCAAAGAGGAGGATCAAAAGGTAACTGTCGGGACGGTGCCTGGCACACAGTGGGCCTCCCCCCACCCCAGCGGATCAAGGGACGGTGAGGCTGTCCTGGGGGTGGGCAGGGCTGTCCAGGGCCGCGGTGAGATGAGGCTTACGTTGGGGGTGAGGGAGGGGCGGGTGCCCCTGGCTTCACAGAGGCCTTGTCCCAGGTCATTGAGCTGGTCAAGAAGTACGGCACGAAGCAATGGACGCTGATCGCCAAGCACCTGAAGGGCCGGCTGGGGAAGCAGTGCCGTGAGCGCTGGCACAACCACCTCAACCCTGAGGTGAAGAAGTCCTGCTGGACCGAGGAGGAGGACCGCATCATCTGTGAGGCCCACAAGGTGCTCGGCAACCGCTGGGCCGAGATCGCCAAGATGCTGCCAGGGAGGTGAGCTGCCGGTGGGGGGGTGGGGGAGGGGCTGTGGGCGGGGGGCTGGGGCCAGCCGGGGTGCTCTGAGGAAGTGCGGGCATCCACTGGGCTTTGGGGGGGTATTCCAAGAGTCAGTCCCATTTGTTTGCAGTTGTTCACTTTTCCCAGAGGCGAATGAATCCCTCAGATTCTTGCCTAGGGGTGTCCGGGCGTGGCTATGAAGGCAGTTCTGGATCAGGGCAGGGAGAAGGAGCCTGGGGGCCTCCGACTGTGTGTACACATTTTTCCTTTGGTCCCCGTTGGAGCTTTGTGCACCACCTGTGCCCTCTGCCAGGGTTGCCTGGTCCCTTTTTCTAGAGAATAAAATCCTCTTCTCCTGCCTGTGCGGTCAGGACCAGGATCTAGGCATCCAAACCACTGCTCTGTTTTCTACTCCTTGCTGTGCCTGATCCCTCTAAGAGCCTCTTGGGGCTCTGGGGGAGCATTGGGAAGACTTGGCTCCATTCTTGCCAGAATCTTCCTCTGGGGTCAAATCCCCTCTCCTAAGTTGCTTACTGCTCCGCTAAGTGCTTTCCATCTTCTGGAACGTTACAAAAATTTCTTAGTGCTGGCTGTTTTCTACCCTGTTCTCTTTGTCCTTGTGCATTTCCCCTGTATTCAGTTTCATTTGTAATCCTTTGTCATGACACTGTGGTCCTGGGACAGAGAGGAGATAAAATGCCAGATGATGTATTTCCTCTGAAGTCTGGAATGGTCCTAGTTTCAAAACTCAAACCTGAGTCTGTTACCCTTTTGGTGTTCCTCCTAGTGCTTGGGTTGAAGACCTGGGTCTCTCTCCCCGTGTGACCTGCCTGGCCTGGCTGATGCCACCAGCTTGGCCTTGATGCACTGTCCCCCTTGCTTACCCATTGGGCTTTAGCAGCTCTGCACTCCTCTCAGCCCTGCGAACACGGTGAGCTCCTTCTGAGAACCCACTGGTGCTCTCCTCTGTTGGTCTGGAATGCACTCTGCTTGTGCCCCTTGTGTAGCCAACACACTCATCCTTCAGTCTTTGGTGGGGGTGTCTCTCTGTCTTCCAGACTGTGATCAGTCTCCAGTGACCTCCCCATACCGCCCACACCCCTGCCTGGTCAGCACTCTGTCCTAACGGCCCACGGTGGGAGTGTTCGGAGATCCCGACGCTCCTCTGGGCTGGCACCTCATTCCGGCCGTTCATCATGTCCGTTCACGATTCAGGGGAAGAGCACTCTGCTGGGATTCCCAAAGAAGGGGTGCCTACTGTGTGCTTGCATTTCTGTTACAGTCTGATGGATTTTGTTGCTGTCCAGTTGGCGAGGCTGTGCTGCCGTACTTCCATACTTCCCACTTCTCTCCAGCTCTGCTGCTGCGTGCTTCCGGTGTACCACACGGGTGTGTGCTCGGCCCTGCTCTGCTGCACGCGGCCCTGCAGTGTGCAGCGGGGACTTCTGTAGTACTCTGCTACGCAGTACTTCTGTACATCTCTGCTGCCTGCATGCCGCTTACCGCCGTGCCGCAGGGTCTCTCGTAGTACTCCGCTACTCGGTACTTCTCTACAGCTCTGCGGGCTCGCGTGCCGCTTAACGCCGTGCGACGGGGGCTCCCGTAGTACTCCGCTACTCGGTACTTCTCTACGGCTCTGCCGCCCCACGTGCCGCTTACCGCCGTGCCGTGGGGGCTCCCGTAGTAC